GTTACTGCATTGCATTGTGGCACGTGCAGAGGGTGGTCAAACCATTGGCCAGGAGGAGTATGAAGTTCAATTTCAAAAGTATTCCAGCGGAAAGCAAATCAATGCACTTGCCAAGAACATTGCGAGAGTGATTGTTTTCATGGGCCTGCATTTTGATTTTGGCAGTGTTAGCTTTCTGGGGATGGGTTTGCAAAAGAGCACATGATGCCTACACAAGCTTCGATCATGTGTACACGCAGTATGCAATTATGTCTTCAGCTGTGACAATTCTGGAAAGGAAAGTTGCGCAGATGGAGACAGATCTCAGACGTTTGCGTGAAGGACACACAGAACTCTCTGGCGAGATTGAGATGGTGTCAGGCTCTACAGAAAATACCCAATGGGGGTTGATCAATATGGGAGGCTACACCAATTTCCATGGCCTCACACCTATGCAGCGCCAACAGATGTACGGGCTGGAACGGGCAAACTTGATTGCAGCAAGAACAATGGGGATGCAACGTTATTTGAATGTTGTTCGAACCCAAAATCAAGGCATAGTTCATGGAGGTGATGATACTGACATGGAACAACATGCACAAGAAACTGCCGAGGAAGAAGCACCCGTTTTTGACCGTCCAATTGAACCAGATGACACTCCAGAGCTCAGCCAGGTCACCATGACCTTGCGTAATGAGTTGAATGACAGTTTGCGCAGAGAGCAATGAAGTGATGCAGCTGCTTTTCAAAACTGTGTGATGAGATTTTTGGATGCGGTGAATCAATATCAGCCAGTACCAGCAGATGTGAGACGTGAGCTTTACTTTGCGCTGGCTGCAGACATCCAACTTCTTGTCAACCGCCATGCAGAGACCGACGCCAATCTGTCAGAGAGATACCAAAAGTATGTGAACCAACTCAGAGAGATGGCCTATAATGCAACATAGGTCCAAAGGAAATTTTGCCGGGGAATGATGGCAACTCCCCGTAACCAGAATGCCATCTTTGCCAAAGGCAAACTTTTTCATGCCGGGGAATGGGGAATGGTGGCCTCCCCGTTACCATAATGCCACCTAGGCCCAAAAGAATTCCAAACTGGAATTTCCAATGAAGTTTGTGCGCAGCAGCCATGCCAAAATGGTGTGGAAATGGAAGCTAAAGATTCCACATTCCCAAGGAGGAGTCCGAAAAATTTGGCAGAGCACTCATGTCCATGCATGGCCCCTGCGCAAGGATGACACACATTGGAATTTCCATTCAGAAGATTTCACAATGGTCATGGACAGTTCATGCAAAACGCATTGAGTACTGTAGGCCCAAGCAAAAAGGTCCGTGCTGCACCGTTTGGTTTCGCAGAATTGCATTTATATATAGATATAGATATAGATATAAGATATAAGATATAGATATAGATATAGATATAGATATAAGATGTAGATACAAGATATAGATATAGATATAGATATAGATATGGATATAAGATTATAGATTATAGATTATAGATTATAGATTATATATAGTTTATAGATTATAGATTATAGATTGTAGTTTGAAAAAATTAGATTGTAGATTGTAGATTGTAGATTGTAGATGTAGATATATAGAAATAGAGATACACATATAGTGATATAGAAATAGAGATTAAGATATAGAGATATAGATATAGAGACATAGATATAGAGATATAGATATAGATATATAGATATAGATATAGAGATATAGATATATAGAGATATAGATATAGATATACAGATATATGGATTTAAATATACAGATTTGGACATAGATATATAGATATAGATATAGAGATATAGATATAGAGATATAGATATAGATATAGAGATATAGATATATAGAGATATAGATATAGAGATATAAATATAGATATATAGATATAGATATATAGATATAGATATAGAGATATAGATATAGAGATATAGATATAGAGATATAGATATAGAGATATTGATATAGAGATATTGATATAGAAATATAGATATAGAGATATAGAGATATAGTTATAGAGATATAGATATAGATTAGATTAGATTAGATTAGGTGGGTAAATAGATAGACATATATATATATATATTCGTTTTTAATTCGGCAGTTTGTTTGGCAAATTGAAATGAAAAAACATTCGTTATGTATCCAATTCATTTTCTATCAGGCAATTTGTTCAGCAAAACTTCATGTTCATAGCCTCCAAAAAGAGGGCGAGTCCTTATTCTCGCGCCATAAACCGCTCAATTGTTGGACGCCTTCTGCTGCCATTGAAACCGGAACTCAATTCTGCAAAATTTTCGGCGTAGTTTTATTTTGGCCCGCTGCGGTTTCAAGCGAGCAACTGAAAGTATGGTGATCCGAAACTTGGGCCAACTTTTAATTGTACACAGTACGATCTCAATCTGCAAAAACATCACTGACATCATTTTTTGTCATCGCCACAAGGTTTCCAGAAGTTTCGTCAGATTTTTGGCCCAAAATTTGTGGACACCTTTTTAGCTTCAATTTATTGGGGTTTGACAGGGATAGTTCTGAAGGGCCGCTGCCCTGAACCTTGTCAGCTGGCCCGTGCGGCATGCAGTATTGCAAACATTGAGGTGACACTTGATGCGATCATGTGCAGTGTTCAAATCGGTTTGTTTATTGTCTTGGTTTTGTGGTGCATTTCTTCTGTTCAATGGCATTCACAATCCTACTGTGGTGCTTGATGCTTTTAGGCTCTGTCGCTGCCGAAAATTTGACACACAAACAAATTTGTTTCATTACATTAGATTGAACACCAAAGCAAATGGTTTGTCACGAATCGAAAAGCAAACCAGACCTCGATCGTGCCCAAATTTGGCGAACGGGTGCATCCCAAGTTTCCATTTTCTTTGACTTCCATCAAAAAGGTCAACTGTTTGTAGATCATTTCAAGTGTTAAATGTCCCACTTTGGTGCATTGTTTGGGTCTCCAGTGCGGTGGCCAAATAGACCGGAAAAGGATGGATGCGCTGGCGCTACTGTCGGATGAAGATGACGATGACGTGGAAGATGAAGAGGATCTCGAGGACATGGAAGGCAACTCCGAGGCCTGGGCATTATGAAAATGACCATATGGAGGTTTCCTAAAATGGGGCTACCCCTAAATCATCCATTTTAATGGGATTTCCCTTATAAACAATCCATTTTGGGGTATTCTCCATTTATGGAAACCCCCAGATGCCATAGTTGTAACATGTTGTAACCGTTGGAGTGCAGGTGAAAGTGGACTTTGGCAGCTTGCAACGTGGGCCACCAAGTTATGGCAGACCGAACTGTGTATTTGGATTTTATTGAAATTTGGTGCCAACAATTTTGCTTGGTTTGTCCCTTTGGTATGATTAAGATTATCAAATACTCTTGACGATACTTCACATTCGTTTGATTTTGTAAAGGTGAACCTTTTGAACATGTGAAACAGAAAAATTGAAATCATTGTTACAGAAAAAATGAATTTATTGTTTTTCCAGTTCACCTGGGTTTGTCCAAAGATGGCCTGTGCCGTATATAACCCAAAACAGGAAACTTAAAAATACCACCAAATTGCATTTTGGAATCATTTTGATAGGAAAATATGATGACAATTTATTATCCCTCAATGATTGGGGGTACTCCATTTTCAGACAAAACCAAGTAGCATTTTATATCTTTTCTGAGGTGCTGGCTACCAGGGCAACCAGTCTTTGAGCGAAACAGACATGTACAAACGGGTTTTGGCCTCAAACGTTCAGTGAAACTTGTGATTGGGCCAACTCAATTTGGGACACACGCAATGGGCCACAGTGGTTGGCTACATATTATGTACATATTATTCTAGTGTATATTACAATCGTGTCTATATAAATAATATACATACATACATACATTCATTCATTCATTCATTCATTCGTTCATACACACATTCATACATCCATTCATACATGCATACATTCATACATACATAGATTCATACATACATTTATTCATTCATACATACATACATACATACATAGATACATAGATACATAGATACATACATACATACATACATACATACATACATACATACATACATACATACATACATACATACATACATACATACATACATACATACATACATACATACATACATACATACACACATAAACACATACAAACATACATACATTCATTCATACATATATATATACATACATTAATACGCCCATACATACATTCACACATACATTCATACATACATACATTCACACATACATTCATTCATTCATTCATACATACATACATGCATGCATGCATACATACATACATACATACATACATACACACATAAACACAATTTTTTCAATCGCAGCGTTCTCATGTGTCTTCATGATGGCTGAGTCAGGGCCCGTTATGGAGCCCAGCTGCTTGCGCAGACGCTCACCGCTGTCCCTCTTGGACAGCAAGGGCACTGGTGCTACAGTGACAAGAATGATCCCACTCACCAAAACAACAAGACAGCAACCAACAAACAAGCAAGCCACAGGGTCAACTCCGTCACCAGCACACTTGGGGATCCAAAAAATCCTAAGGAGAATCTATTTCAGCATGTCGCTGAGTTGATCCTAAGAACCCTTGAAGTTCTCGCTCTAATCCCCCTTTAGGGGCTTGGCCTCGCTTCAATTCACCTCCTCTCTCTGCCAACTTCTTCACAAGGAGCTGTAGAACAGCTTCCGCGCTGTCATGGACAGCCATGCCTTCTTCACACGGCACACATGCACAACTGTAGCCATTTGTTCGATGTTCAGAGCAAAATGCCTGTACCGCCTTCTTCTCTTCTTCGGCCAAGCCATCTGTCACCAACAGTTCAAGCATTTGAATCCAAGCATAGCAATGTGGTGGTCCAGCAGGTGGCTCACAATCTTCCTGCTTTCGCTTGATCTTGGTGCTTGTTGAACTCTTGTGTGGCAGCTGTGGCGGCTTGAACCGTCGTGAGGACGGTGGATTGGATCTCCCGGATGCCCATTGCATTTTTGAGAGACAATTTTGCCAAGAGCTGAACCCCCCTTCATCAGGAACTTTTCAGATCCACCTGCTTGTTTCTTCGCCTGGTTCGCCCGTGCTGCGCTTGTGGGCCAAGGACCACGCGGTTAAGGACGCCATCCCGGGGCAGTGAAGGAGTTTGCTGCTTGAAAAGAGCCAGAAAAATCTATGCAACGGGCAGCTGCACATGTGAAACCACATGCGCCAGAAGTTCATCGACTGATCCAAAAACAACATCGCATGTAGGACAACAAAGCTGAGAGGGAGGCACAACCTGATACACAACTGCACTACCTCTGCCTGTGCATTGTCCAGTGCGCAGTTTTCTGCGAATGTGTTCTTTGGCTGATTGTATTGGGTGGTACACTTGTCTGCACCAAGGGCATATGTTCGCAACAGCAACCTTTGACACGTCAGAGAGATAACCATGAGTACCACCTTTGGTGTTTGTTTTGTGTATTGCCAGCGCACTTGGTGTTGCAAACGCTTTATTGCACACAGTACCATCATGTAGAACGCACAAACATACAAAGGGAAGGTCAGGAGGTTCATCATCAACAGAAGGTTCAGCATGTAACGGTTCAACTGGGGGATGCCAATCTGGAGGGGGAATCTGGTTCGGTAAAAATGTAGCTCGCATTGCAGTGACATCAATGTACAAAAACTCTTCTCGAAATGTTGTGAAAACAAGGCCAACACACATAAACACATACAAACACACATACATAAATCCATTCATGCATACATAAATACATACATTCATACGCCCATACATACATTCATACATACATACATACATTCATACCTACATACATACATTCATTCATTCATACATACATACATACATACGCCCATACATACATTCATACATACATACATACGCCCATACACACATTCACACATACATACATTCATACATACATACGCCCATATATACGTTCATACATACATACATACATACATAGATACATACATACATACATGCCTGCATGCATGCATGCATGCATGCATTCATACACCCATACATACATTCAGACATACATACATACATTCATACATACATTCATACACACACCCATACCTACATGCATTAATTTATACATACATACATTCACACATACATACAGACTTACATACATACATACATACATACATGCATACATATGCCCATACATACATTCATACATTCATACATATATACATACGCCCATACATACATACATACATACATACATACATACATACACATATACATACATACATAGATACATACATACATACATACATGCCTGCATGCATGCATGCATGCATTCATACACACATCCATACATACATTGATACATGCATACATTCATTCATACATAAATTCATACATACGTACATTCATTCATTCATTCATTCATACATGCATACACCCATACATACATTCATACATACATATATACATACATCATACATGCATGCATGCATGCATACATACATACGTACGTACGTACGTGCATACATACATACACACACATTCATACATACATTCATACATACATACTCCCATACATACATTCATACATACATACAGACTTACACCCATACATACATGCATTCAGTCATACATACATACATACATACATACAGACTTGCATCCATCCGTACATACATACCTACATACATACGCCCATACATTCATTCATACATACATACATGCATTCATTCATACATACATACAGACTTATATACATCCATACATACGTACATACATACGCCCATTCATTCATTCATTCATACATACATACATACATACATACGCCCATACATACATCCCTACATACATACATACATTCATACATACATTTCTACATACATGCATTCATACATACATTTCTACATACATACATTCATACATACATACATACGCCCATACATACATTCATACTTACATTCATACATTCATACATACATTCATACATACATTCATACATACATTCATTCATACATTCATACATGCATTCAGTCATACATTCAGGCATACATTCATACATACATACATACGCTCATACATCCATTCTTACATACATTCATACATACACACAAAAATTCATGCATACATTCGTACATTCATACATACATACATATATTCAGGCATACATTCATACCCACATTTATACGTGCGTACATAGGCCCATACATACATTCATACATACATTCATGCATACATACGTGCATACATGCATACATTCATACATACATTCATACATACATTCATACATACACACATTCATACATACATTCATACCTACATACATTCAGGCATACATTCATACATAATTGTTTTACATACATACATACATTCAGACATACATTCATTCATACATCTTTACAGACGTACATACATACGCCCATACATACATCCATACATACATACATACATTCATACATACATTTCTACATACATACATTCATACATACATTTCTACATACATGCATTCATGCATACATACATACACCCATACATACATTCATACTTACATTCATACATTCATACATACATTCATACATACATTCATACATACATTCATACATGCATTCAGTCATACATTCAGGCATACATTCATACATACATTCATACATACATACATACGCTCATGCATCCATTCTTACATACATTCATACATACACACAAAAATTCATGCATACATTCGTACATTCATACATACATACATACATTCAGGCATACATTCATGCCCACATTTATACGTGCGTACATAGGCCCATACATACATTCATACATACATTCATGCATACATACGTGCATACATGCATACATTCATACATACATTCATACATACACACATTCATACATACATTCATACCTACATACATTCAGGCATACATTCATACATAAAATTTTTACATACAGACATACATTCAGACATACATTCATTCATACATCTTTACATACGTACATACATACGCCCATACATACATACATTCATACATACATATATTTATACATACATACGCCCATAATACACCTATCTGCCTTTTTCACTGTTTGTTTGGCTTCACACTGCATCAAGGCTGGGGAAGTGGTTCCACCGCAAAAACCCGCCGCGGTTCCTCCCATGGAGGGTGCCGTCACAGAGAAAGTGCCTCAGTGCGGAGCTGAGAGTTTGCCGAGGAACAGCCACGTGTCTTAAAGTGTTTTTTGTTTGAAACCAATTTTCACTTCCTGTTTTTCTAAAAACCCGATTGGATGGTTTGTAGATGTCTATGGTTGATAGGTGGAATCATGGTTTATCTCGCCATGGGAATGGTTTGGAAAATATAGTGCCCACGTCCTGAGCCTTAAAAACCGTGTTGGGTTGTCTGGTTTCAACTTTCCTGGAACCAATTCCAGTCTGAGAAGTTTTCACCAATATTCCCACCGGGGTTCACCACCTTTCTCTGAAACTTCACGAATCTTTTAAACTCCTCATCGGTGAGGTGTTTTTCTTCCAAAGATCATAAAGACGAGGTGAACGCCTTTATCCAGTCTTCATGAATGTTACCAATACTTTCCTACGGGTGGCATATGTATACAACTTGAATCTTACTATATTTCTCTTTTGATTGCTTTCCTCCTGTTCTTCATCCCCATTTTCCCATAGTTCTCTTTTTTAAACTTTTAAGACATCTATTTAACAATCTTTTTGAATTCTCACATCAGTAGCCAACAAAAAAATGTTTTCCATCGTCCCCAAACATCGAGGTTGGATGTGGACGTCGCCCAAGTGGCGGAGGATCTGAAAGCGCTGGAGAAGGCCAAGCTGCGCGATCGGAAACGCGCTGGCGTCGGGAAACTCAGAGGGCTATCCGAAATGATTTCTTTGGAATTTGACATGGATGGGATTGGGGAGTAGATTCTTCTTCTTCTAATTTTTCTTCATGATGGTTACGATTGTAGTAACTGTTACTGGTATTATCTGGTATTTCTATTTGTGATCAAACACGAATGGAAATGATGGTCATCCAGCCGGTGAACAATGATACTCAATCCGAATGAGTTTGAACACGGATCGTACGGGATAGGGTTTTGCGGAACATATCCAATAAACATCCCCCCAAAAACCAGGTGGGAGATATGGAATTTGTTCATTTGGGGGTTGTATGGGAGAGCTTTTTCTTGAAGTCTTAGAGGGAAACCATACCATCCTTCGCAGGTTCCATAGATGGATAAATGGAGTGAATTTCAGGTTCGAAACCAATCTCAAGTAAGATATTGAGAGGTGCTTTACCTTAGAGTCAGGAAAACCTGTGCGGTTGGGAAAGCTTTCGCAGCGTCATCCTGAGGTGCAGGACGGCGAAAGTAATCGCAAGAAAAACGCTCGAAAGATGAAAATGGGTCAGGTGGAGCACTCAGATAAATAGTCACTGAGATATGGCTGATACTCACTGATGCTGATAGTTTGGTCCTGAGATATGGCTTTCAGTGGAACCAAAGACAAACAGTGACAAAGATTTCTTTGGTGCGTAGCCCGCATCCTGAGCCCAGGCGAATTTCTCTTTGAAGGATGATCGGGACTGCGTGAACCCGTTCATTGATCAGTCTGATGCCTCACATGTCAAAGGCTACTCCGGAAAGCGGGCGCCCGGCTCAGGTGATGATCTTTGCAGTGCGCAGTTGGGGTGCAGTTGAAGTGTTTTTTTCTTGAAGATGTTGCGACCTACGCGAGGTGGACAAGAGAGCCTCTGTGAAACAGATTAGCAATTTGGACTTCACTTCCTGAGACTTCGGCTGGCTGCCAATGTACAGCCAAGTTTCTGTGCAGAAAATCTATGGATATCTCCATCACTGGGACAAAGCGGCTTCCAGGTGTGGGGCGGATGTGTTTCAAATGCAGCGTTTTAGTGAAGTGGGTAGCAAAGGCTGCCAGCAAGAATCACAGGAAGGAAAACCAGCGAATACAAGCGCTGACCAGTTCTGCAAGGCGATTTTTGCCATATACAGAATCTTGCAAGTGGTGCAAAACGCATGGCAACTCAGGTAGCCTACCTGATTTCTGGCCATTTCAACCTGTGCCAACCTGTGTGAGAAACAATCCTGTACAGGGAGACGGTGGTGGGAAAACATTTTTGACATGTCATGTCAATACAAACTGTCTGCAAACAAATGTCCAACAGTCAGTCACACAAGTGATGCTCTATGGAGATTCAGAATCATGAGCACAGCAGAGCACCTTGATTCATGCAGTGTTCCATTGATATGGGGAAAACCTTAGGGCCAAATTTAATGGAAACTTGAGAATGGTGGGGCACTGTGATGTCCGAAAGCAGCGACGTGCCTTATCTGCACTGGCCAATTTTGTTCAGTGCTCTTGATGTACTTTGGCAACATTCCAACTTAGTGACTGGTTCGTAGCCATGGTCAATATTCCATTTATATGATACAATGTATACATATATATATATATACTGTATATTATATACACACATGCATGTGTAAATGGGATCTGTAAACCCAATGACGCGAGACAAGTGAGCTGTGAATCTTTGACCAACTCTGCTGACTCGCTGAGGTCAGTCCGTCGCCATCTGAGTGTGTTGCATCTGACTTCATCCCTGGGCTAACCTTTGAGATTGCCAACCAACATAGACCATGCCAACTAGGTTGATTACTTTTTGGAAGATTACTGTACACCAAAAGTTGGTTGTCAGTGATCGTCTATGTTAATTTAGGGATGGCATATCACCAGTTTTGTGTGGAAGATTGGCACCGACCGTTCTTTGAGCTTCAACATCCCCATTGAAATCAGGTTTTCCGCGCGAGGGCGCAAGCCGCATTTGGCGGAGTCCGTGCGGCGCTATGCGTGGTAGGCTCAGAGTTACCAGTATGACCTTACTTGTGGGGCTATAGCAGTTGAAATATAGTTGGTATCACTTGTATCAGCAAACAATAGATCGACTTGATTAAACCAACAGATCAGGAGGGGTTACAACGGTTGCAACTGCTGATAACTGGGAGATTGACACATTCTGAGTCAACTGGGATGGTGGGCCCCATTCCAATCTCTTTGGAGGCGATCCACAGGTGTCGGTCATTCCTATGTAACCTGGTTGTGCATTCCAGGGTTACGTGTGGTCAATCACTGATGAAAAAACTGTGATCCATGTGATATCCCCAGTGATATGTGGGATATCCCATACTTTGAATTACTTTGATATGTAGGGTCATTCTCCAGTGACTTGCTCCATCCCAGTCATGCTCGACAAAAGCATGAGTTGATACTTAGGTCATCCAGCTCAAGACGGCAAGAGAAACATGCTTCTACCAAGGAGGTGAATGGGCCTGTGACCTTTGTGACCGTTCAGTGACCACCAGAACTATCATCTCCTGACCACTGTCGGTGGGTGGAGGCTATGTCTAAAGTACACCCGTTTTTCAGACATACCAAAAGATCATATCAAGTTGGTTAGGGATATCAAATTATAATCCATTCTATGGTTGCATCACCACTAGATCACCATGTTCTACTTGGAAATTTGGTAATTTCTTACCCTGAATATTCAATCCCCCCTCCACCCCCCAATTTAGTATTGGATCTATTCATGACTTGGGGCCCAGTTTAGGGTGGGATTCAATATTAGGAAGGGATTATTTGGAAAACGGTCAGAATTGATTTTAGTTTTTTGGGGCGAAAACCATAACTTCCTGTAGATTTTCCCTTAAACCAATCCACTGAAAAATGAGTCGAACACAGGCTCTCTCAGAGCAGAGAGCTGTTGAGAAGTCCTCCAGTCCAGTGCCGGGCCCAGGGGATCATTCTTTGGGGGTTGAACATCCATTTGCTGGGGAATTTAGGAATCACAAGTGTATTAGGGTTTTGATTCATATCTTTTTTGGGTCTGAAAAGGGGGGATACCCCCAAGTTATGGAAATTAAGCTTGATAAAACAGAGGATTTTTTGGTTTCCCTATTTTCAGACAAAGGACATTGGGGCCCAAATTTGATGGAGGAAACACATGGAAATAAGGCCGAGCACCACCTTTCTTTGCTGCAAAAGGGCAGAGTAATAGCTGTTTCTTTCGTATTGCACTGCCACCTGTAAGGGCTTCCTATGGGCTTGGCACACTGAATCTATAGATTCGTCTGACAACACCCAAATGGCTTTGCATGGACATCATAGAATATCTTTCCTCCAGGGCGCACCTGGTACATCATCTCAAAGTTGCTGCTCTATTGGCAACCCCATTCAATTTCATGGTTTAGTACCTAAGTTTCCCAGCAAAAGCAATGCAAATTGGGGTATCCCCTGGTATCCCCTGATTTTGAGTCAAACCTATGCCAGATATAAAGTTGGTTACATATCCCATTGAAGACTATATAGACTATACCAATTAATATATATATATATACATACATATGCATATCCCATTGGTTCAATATTGGTTGTATAAACCTGTTACATCCCATTGAACACATATGGCTGGATGACTCCAGGGCCGCCGTGTGCGGGTGGTGCAGCCAAAGTCCATGGACACCTGTGGTGCCTGCCGATCCGGGGGGTTCGTGCCTTAGCTTTTCAGGACCCGGCTGTGAATCTGAGAGGGTTCATATGGCTTGATTACATATGACATCATATGATGATATGATGTTTTTTTTTCTTCTATCTATCTATCTATCTACCTATCTATCTATCTACCTATCTATCTATCTACCTATCTATATACCTACCTACCTACCTATCTATCTACCTACCTATCTATCTATCTAGCTATCTACCTATCTATCTACCTACCTATCTATCTACCTACCTATCTATCTACCTTTCTATCTATCGACCTATCTATCTATCTATCAACCTATCTATCTATCTACCTACCTATCCATCTATCTATCTACCTATCTATCTATCTACCTACCTATCTATCTACCTATCTATGTATCTACCTATCTATCTACCTACCTATCTATCTACCTACCTATCTATCTATCTACCTACCTACCTATCTATCTACCTACCTATCTATCTATCTAGCTATCTACCTATCTATCTACCTACCTATCTATCTACCTTTCTATCTATCGACCTATCTATCTATCTATTTACCTATCTATCTATTTGCCTACCTATCTATCTATCTATCTGCCTACCTATCTATCTATCTATCTACCTATCTATCTACCTACCTATCTATCTACCTACCTATCTATCTATCTACCTATCTATCTATCTACGTACCTATCTATCTATCTACCTATCTACCTACGTATCTACCTACCTACCTTTCTATCTACCTATCTATCTACCTATCTATCTACCTACCTATCTATCTATCTACCTACCTATCTATCTACCTACCTATCTATCTATCTACCTATATATCTACCTACCTATCTATCTATCTACCTATCTATTTACCTACCTATCTATCTATCTATCTACCTAGCTACCTATCTATCTATCTACCTGCCTATCTATCTATCTACCTATCTATTTATCTATTTATCTATCTACCTATCTATCTATCTACCTATCTATCTACCTACCTATCTAATTATCTATCTACCTATCTATCTATCTATCCACCAATCTATCCACCTATCTATCTACCTACCTATCTATATAGAACGATAAGTAGGTAGGTAGGTAGGCAGGTGGGCCGGTGGATCGATAGACAACCGGTGACGACACCCTGCCATTCGTAGTGAGGTTGGAGCTTGCGGAGGATTTCGCCTCAAACCTTGCTAAAGAGGCAGTGGAGATGAGCCTGTGGGATAAGCATCAAGATAGGTCTATGACATTTGATATATGATATACATATATCATCATATATATCATCACATATCTTGGAAATCCACTATGACAATACTCCAACATAATGTATAGTCAGGAATCGCCTTCAATTCTTTTTGGGAAACAAACATGCGTGTTGGTATATATATATGTATATATATATTATACGTATACATATGTAACATTTGTAGATAGATGTAGATTTCGGCAAGTGGGACCCTTCTTTGACAGGTCAAGAAGCAGGTGATGGACATGGCGGACCGGGGGTGTCGTTGTGGCAGTTTTCATGGGAAAAATGATGGTAACCCAATTTTTCATGGGAAAATGGGAAAATGGATTCAGGGCACACCATTTTCGCAACTGCAATGGAATCAGCTCCGCTCTGCAACTCTGTTGTGCCGAACTGCAATGCACGCACAATCTCGGGTTAGGTCCCGTAAATACATCTGTGATTCAGACTGCACAAAAAGTGTGAAGTACTGAACAGAATTTAGGTGTTTGCTTGTACCCTTGTTTGGCATGCTTTGGCTTTCAGACTCTTTGAGTTGAAAAAATGGTTAGCACATGGTAGAACCAGTGAGTCGAAGAACGGAAACTTTTCAATCGCAGACAAAAGGTCAGATTTGCCCAAAAACCTTCTAGCCATGGCGCCTGAACAGACCTGTAACCCAACAAGCCAACGGTGTTTAGAGCTTCACAACTTCCCAGCAGCTTCAGCATGGAAGCCGGTTGCCACAAGTATCAGCCATAGTGGTTTGAAATGGGTATGGATCAATACCTATTAATACCATTTTTAATGGGATGAACATCCATTTACCAGCTATTTTGATGTTCACCAGGGGTACAAGGTTTTGACACACTGCCATACGTTCCATACGATTTTTCACAGAAACACCAGGTCTGCCAGCTTTGCACATGATCCCGCGAGTCCGCCATGTCCCTTTGCACCGTTGTGGAGATCGCTCTCCAATTCGAGAGCTTTCGAAACATCGATCTCTTCCACCAAGGCCGGGGCCCACCTCCAATGGGATGGTGAATTAGACCACCAGTAAAATGGGATAAGGCCCTGATAAGGCCCTGATAAGGCTGATCAAAATGATCAAACCCACCTATACAATACTTATCCTATTGATTCCTATTTGATATCCTAGGTGTACCTGGAAAAAAAACTTACAATCGCCTCGTCGCTGTTGATCCTCCACTCGCACTGGAAGGTCTTTATCATTTGAAGACGCGCATCTACAGAGACGATGAGTCTCGGGCGCTTGCTGTGCCCCATAGTCATCTCAAGGCTAGCTGTGGATCTTTGGCCTCTTCTGAAGCAAACATGATCTATCCAAGTGTATGGCATTGTTTTTTTCGGGGATTCGGGAACTCAAATGCTGCACCAGGACTTGACTATGAACTATAGTTGACTATTAACTATAGTGAACTACTCACTATTATATCACTATAGTATACTTATATAACTATTGCCTATTAACTATAGTTCATTGTTCCATTTGGAGGGTTCCACGACTCTGCAGGGCCCAACGTTGGTCACTGAGCCCGTGAAGGGCAAAGCACCTCGCGTGGATCACCACAATTTGATTCCGGCCCACCTCAACGAGGAGTTGCCACTGGCCTGCATTCTTCGATGCCACATATGCCACATGGGATCTCCAGAAATGGGGGGCGTTCCCCCAATTTTTTATGGTCATTTTGGAAAGATGACAAACGCACATGCCAAAGTGTGGCGTTTGTTGGGGTGTACGGTTTTGTTTGTTTTCATCAAGAAGCACAGAGGGGGTGTTTCCAAGAAAAACGAGTCAGTTGCTTTTTTTTTGATGCTTCACTTTTCTCACTTTGGGAGCCGAGGGTTGACACACCAGACGGGTATGGGTCAAATGATTGACCGCCAAACATGGATGGTTTAATGTCCTGCAAATGACAAGCCATTGTGGTTCCATAAATCAATGACTCGACCCGTTACTTGGGGGTGCAGTTGAGGTTATAAGTGCATCTATAACTAGGTATAGGGTTATCCCGACTTATAGAGGGTTGTCACTATGATTATACCGATAAACATCACCCGTACTGTACCGTTTGGTTTTAGGTTCTGCCGTACTGTCGCCTTAGGTACACCTTCTCAACGAGGAGCTTCTTGATCCGCTACTGTGAGGAGGAAGTGGAGCTGGGAGATGTTGGACAATTTCGACTGGAGCTTGGTCCATCAGAGTTGCCCGGCAGCGCTGCCGTAATAATTCCAGGTTAGATCCCAAAAATGTATAAAAATGTAAGAGTAGAATGTAAGTAGAATGTAGTTTATGTGCAAAGTTACAGATATACACTTTGAGTACATCTTTGTACATCTTAGTACCCAAACTCGGATGGATAGAAAGGTCATGACGACGCCATGGTCACCAATGTCAAGCTGGATTATCTCAGGTTGGAGCGCCGGCAACCGCTGCTTTTGGAGGCAGGATCGTTCTTCACACCTGAAACAGTGGCAACATCTTTGTTCCAAAGAGGAACACAGCCTGGAGATTAAGTTGCTTTTTCACTCCAATGACTATGGTTTGTAGGGGATGTATGTATATATATATATAACTACATATATAACTATATACATATCATTATATATATATATTGCAGCGTAGAGGGTCCCCATTCCCAATCAAATGTTGTTGCCACTCTGCATTCTATTGGGAAGATCAACAAAGGTATTAGGGAATATTAAAATCCCACACCGGTTTAACTTTACATTCAATTGGGAAGATCAACAAAGGTATTAAATAGGGAATATTAAAGTCCCACCACCGTTAAACTTTACATTCATTGAAGATCTTCAATAAGGGTTAAACACCGACCCGCGTTAAACTTCTGCATTCATTGAAGATCTTCGATAAGGGATTCATCTTCCCACCCCCGTTAAACTTCTACATTCATTGAAGATCTTCAAAAAGGGTTTAATTCAGCCACCCCCGTTAAACTTCTACATTCATTGAAGATCTTCAAAAAGGGTTTAATTCTCCCACCCCCGTTAAACTTCTACATTCATTGAAGATCTTCAATAAGGGTTTAATTCTCGCACCACCGTTAAACGTCTACATTCATTGAAGACCTTCAATAAGGGTTTAATTCTCCCACTCCCGTTAAATTTCTACATTCATTGAAGATCTTCAATAAGGGATTAATTTTCCCACCCCCGTTAAACTTCTACATTCATTGAAGATCTTCGATAAGGGATTAATCTTCCCACCCCCGTTAAACTTCTACATTCATTGAAGATCGTCAATAAGGGTTTAATTCAGCCACCCCCGTTCAACTTTACATTCATTGAAGATCTTCAAAAAGGGTTTAATTCTCCCACCCCGTTAAACTTCTACATTCATTGAAGATCTTCAATAAGGGTTTAGTTCTCGCACCACCGTTAAACGTCTACATTCATTGAAGACCTTCAATAAGGGTTTAATTCTCCCACCCCCGTTAAATTTCTACATTCATTGAAGATCTTTAATAAGGGATGAATTTTCCCACCCCCGTTAAACTTCTACATTGATTGAAGATCTTCAATAATGGTTGGATGATGATGATGATGATGATGATGATGATGCGTTGCCTGTCGTGCTTGCGGTTCCGGGCAAAACCCAGGAATTTGCCGTATATGTATATATATATACACGTATGTACATACTTTATGGGGTTTGAGAACCTTTAAGAACCAACAAACATTATTGGGGGGCGCCACCGAGTCGGACAGGTGGAGCTGATGTTTGCTGATCTGACGCAGCCCAGCGGAGAAAACCTGGGAGATCAGCCTGATGTTGAGCCCGGGGCTCAGCCGTGGGGCTGGGAAAGACATGCGATTCCCTACCACTTTGATGATATGTTGTGGTTTACGGTTTACAGTCTTTTGGAATATATGATTCAGTTCGATTATATAGTTCTCTTTTTTTGGATGAATTTATGGCTAACAGATGGATTTCTGGCTAACAGTCTGGCATGAGATGACTCACATGGACTCAATGCAGGTCGGCTGAATTCCGATGCGTCTCCACTCAAGTCTTGCGACTGCGTGGGGTGGCCCCGCCCTCAGTCTCGGTGTCCCAAAATGTATCTCAGATCCTCCGATTCCGATGGGTGATCATCATATTTTGAATCAAAGTGGCCGAAAAATGGGAAGCAAATAACAAAACAATTCTTGGACAAACTGACTTCCTTCATCGTCCCCATCTAGCTTTGGAAGCATTCCCTCCCAAGGACACTCCCAAAATTGGGATCCCAAAAACGCTCTGGTCATCAATCCATTATAATACTTGTAGGGGTTACTGATATGGTAATGCTGCAATGCTGAAGATTCCACAGCCTACTGGTCCGAATCCCTGAGGAGCGAGGCTTGCATGACTTTTGCCCGGTGGTTTTCGATGAGTGCCACTTCTGCCTTCTAAACCTAGCGGTTCACTCGGCCACCTGGCTATGTTGGGAGGACATGACTGAAAAAATAATGTGTTTTTTGGGTAGTGGGGGGTGCTTCAGATGCTTGGGTGACTCAGACATTGGGCGAAGTGGAAAAAAAATGCAGTGCTTGGTTAGCCTGTTGCCTCCTCTTTCAAGGGTGAGACATGTAACGTTCTGATGTTGTGCCTGCATGTGGGTTCAGGACCCAGCTCAAAATGATATCTTTGGACCAAGGGATCTTTTGCTGTGCAGTCTATCTCATCAAACTGTATTCACAGTACATATACATCCCGCCGGGTGCGGAATCGCGCGTATAGACGCATCACCATGGTCAAAAAATGACAACCCTTTCAGTGTTTCGTAGCCGTCTCAAAGTAAAAATCTAAAAAAAAAAGGTCATTTTTCTTGCGTTTGGCAACCCTTCCACACGAAATCCGGACCTTTTTTTGCCTTGCCAGTTTCAGCGATCATTGTGCATGTAGACCTGTGCTGTTTTTTTCAACAGGTCAGGACACAACGCGTTTTCAACTTCAAACGAACGTTAACATCCCCACCCCACCCCACCCCACTCCATACTCAGCGTAGCATCAGTGGCGTGTTCAACTTCAAACGAACGTTCACATCCCCACCCCACCCCACCCCACCCCATGCTCAGCGTAGCATCAATGGGTGGTTCAACTTCAAACGAACGTTAGCACCCCACACCCCACCCCACCCCATGCTCAGCGTAGCATCAATGGCGTGTTCAACTTCAAACGAACGTTAACATCCCCACCCCACCCCATGCTCAGCGTAGCATCAATGGCGTGTTCAACTTCAAACGAACGTTCACATCCCCACCCCACCCCACCTCACCCCACCCCACCCCATGCTCAGCGTAGCATCAATGGCGTGAACGTTAACATCCCCACCCACCCCATGCTCAGCATAGCATCCGTGTTCACTTCACATCCCCACCCCCCCACCACATGCTCAGCGTAGCATCAGTGGCGTGTTCAACTTCAAACGAACGTTAACATCACCCACCCCACCCCATGCTCAGCGTAGCATCAATGGCGTGTTCAACTTCAAACGAACGTTCACATCCCCACCCCACCCCATGCTCAGCGTAGCATCATGGCGTGTTCAACTTCAAACGAACGTTCACATCCCCACCCCACCCCATGCTCAGCGTAGCATCAATGGCGTGTTCAACTTCAAACGAACGTTAACATCCCCACCCCACCCCACCCCATGCTCAGCGTAGCATCAATGGCGTGTTCAACTTCAAACGAACGTTCACATCCCCACCCCACCCCATGCTCAGCGTAGCATCATGGCGTGTTCAACTTCAAACGAACGTTAACATCCCCACCCCACCCACCCCAGCCCACCCCGGGTTGCCAGTTACGTGAACATAAGAGTGCAACATGGTGTGTAAGCTCAAAAACAAATGTGAAATTGGGAATGTTGAAAATGTGTGTCACTACACGTACGGTTTGCACTAGCATATACATCTACAATATACTTCGAAGCATTTTACCATCCCTTGCTATCCAATATCCCGTCCCACTAGAGCACTTCTAACCTTCATTTCTTTCCGACAACTCTGTTTCCACGGGTGCTTGAAAAGCAATATGAGAACAGGACTTGTCATCCAGGATGCCCAAAAACATTCCACCAACAAAATCACCGGAATTCCAGCAGTAACTCTACCTTGGCATTCTCCAAAATACCCTCTGGTGATCTGTTACGTGGCTATTGAAAATGGCCCATTGATTGTTGATTTACTGGTGGTTACCAAAGGGTAAACCCCACTCATATCCACATATTCATATCCACATATGGGTGAAAATCCCTATGAATCACCATCAACCACCCTTAAATTAACATAAAATCAAGTTACCATCCCCAAGAGTCCTATCAAATCCGATTAAATCCCCAAAAAATCACCAAAATCACCTGACCAAACTCCCACGACCGCCCCTAGGCCGTCCTGGACCTTCGTTTCCGCCTGCGGCCCAAGCAGCTGGCTGCGGCCAAGCCAAAGGTCGCTGGACCAGCTCCACGTGCTGGGGCCAAGGGCGAGGAGGCGGCGGGGTTTGGGCCTGGAGTTGGGACACTGAATTCAAAGGAGTTTGTGTTGGTCTGAATTATAATAATTATATCAAGCAATGACACTGAATACGTCTGAAGATCACCAAACATTTTTTTGGTTTGAAGATTATAAATTATGAGTAAATTATATCTCAAGTTGTGGGGATTTGATTTTCAACCAGGGTGAGAACCAAATGGGAGATGGATCACTACTGATGGAGATGGTGGATTTGTGGTGGATTTGTGTTCCCAACTGCTGGGATTCGCTGACATTTCTGATAGAACTTGTTCTATACCAACTTGGTGGAGTCGAGCCAAACACTCAAAACAGTGGTGTGGCCTGGATGTTGAACACTTGAACAATTGTTTCTGCAGCCGATCTTCGAATTTGGACTGGAACCATGTCAGTGCGCAAATTGTGTCCTTTTTCAGCACCACCTCCTCTGGCTCCTTTCGGCTCTTAGGGTGATAGGACCGCCAAATTTCCAATCAGATCGCCTCCCAGAAACGCAGCAAAAATGGCTCGCTCTCCGGTGCTGTCCTTCCTCCTCTTTGGTGTCTTGGCGCTGCTGGGCAAGCGCAGCATGGAGACCTTCGTGGGCGTCACGTCGCGCCCGAACCGCGCACCGCAGGTGGCGCGAATGGCCGAGGGCGAGGAGGAGGAGGAACCCGAGTACGTGGCAGCACCTGGAGATCGCCTGAAACTGAAGGTGGGGCAGGTGGTTTTTTTAAAGTGAGGTGATGAACATTCAGCATCATTCAGCTGTTCAAATTTCAATAGGTAAACTAAGATGGCGAAAAGATCAGTCCCTCGCCCAGGTCCTTTCGCCCGAGGGCGATGGCATCAGTGTGGCCTGCTCTGAGGTGCGGATGTGTCTCATGGGGATATACCATGGTTATATGGGGATTTCCATCAATGAGGGATCCCCAAAATGTATGGTTTAGAGTTTAGAGTGGAAAATCCATCTATAACGGGCTATCCCTATTTTAGGAAAGCCTTATTTATTATATACCAGTACATAAATAACATATCATGTGGATTTTAAATGGGACTAGTTGATGAGATATGTCATGGGATATGACAAACCAATTTGGTATGATATCATTGGATGTGGACCTGAAAATGGGTGGATTTACTGTATATATCCCCTAGTTATGGTGATTTTGATAGGGGACATGATGATTAACAAGTGGATTTAGGGGTAGCCTATCCACGTCGCTTCGCGACGGCAACCGCCCGCACCGCATCGTATATCGAGTGAACGGTCCACACTGTTAATGATGTCAGCCATTGTTCTCTTCTACTGCCATTGTTCTCTTCTATTGCCGTCGCTCCGCGACAAGAACCCCTGTGCGGCCGCCACGGTTTGAACGATGTTGTTCTCACACCTTCGCGACCGCTCGTAACTGCCAATGATGTCGGCCATTGAGACCAAAAACATCCGAAAGTACTGATTGTCGGAAAAAAAACGCGAAGAATTTGATAGCCATGTATAGCGGACCAACGCAGTTCAAAAAATAACGAAAAACATGAAAAAACGGCGAAATTGCTGTTATTTACAGTGTTTTTGCGCGGTGAGAAGCAGAAACCACTGCAAATACCATGGTTTTTGAGGGTCAGGTGGCCAAAAACACTGTAATTTACAGTGTTTTTTTAACCAACGTCAAAAAACACTGGTATTTACGATGTTTTCATTCACACCGTAACATAAAACAGCGTAATTTACGAGGTTTTTGGAAGTTTTGAAGCTAGCCGTCAAGCATGCAGAAAACAGAAAAACACTGTAAAAACCAGTGTTTCTGCTATCACAAAACGACGAAAATCAGTCCGAAAACGGGTCCAAAAACTCAAAAATCCGCCTCCGGGCCAGGCCACCTGCGGAACCGCAAAAAAAGATGTTGCAAACCAAAAAATTGAGTTCAAAAAGTTGAAAAACACGGGTTTTTTTCACTTTTCGCTTGCCGATTTTGGACGGGCGCGTTCACGAACAGGTGTCTTCCGTACTGTTTTTTACAGTGTTTTTTGAAGGCGAGCGTCACGACCTATCAAAAACAGGAGGTTTTGGCCGAAAAATGCCCCCCCCCCCAGGTAAACCTGTAACGGACATTGCACGATTAGGAAACTATACGCGATTTAGAAACTACGATTACGAAACTACGATTAGGAAACTATTCCGCGCGATTTAGAAACTACTGCGCGCGATTAAGAAACTACGAATAGGAAACTATTGCGTGCGATTAGGAAACTACGATTAGGAAACTATTCCGCGCGATTAGGAAACTACGCTTAGGAAACTATTCCGCACGATTGGGAAACTACGATTAGGAAACTATTCCGCGCGATTGGGAAACTACGATTAGGAAACTATTCCGCGCGATTAAGAAACTACGATTAGGAAACTATTGCGTGCGATTAGGAAACTACGATTAGGAAACTATTCCGCGCGATTAGGAAACTACGATTAGGAAACTATTCCGCGCGATTGGGAAACTACGATTAGGAAACTATTCCGCGCGATTGGGAAACTACGATTAGGAAACTATTCCGCGCGATCAGGAAACTACGATTAGGAACCTATTGCGTGCGATTAGGAAACTACGATTAGGAACCTATTGCGTGCGATTAGGAAACTACGATTAGGAAACTATTCCGCGCGATTAGGAAACTACGATTAGGAAACTATTCCGCGCGATTAGGAAACTACGATTAGGAAACTATTCCCCCCCCTAAACCTTTACATGCAAGAGTATTCTCAACTTCACAGTCTCCCCTCTCCAAGACTTCTTGTCACGATTCCAAGTACTTTTTTAAACTTCCCCCCCTAAACCTTACATGCAAGAGTATTCTCAGCTTCACAGTCATCCCTCCCCAAGACTTCTTGTCACGATTCCAAGTCATTTTTTAAACTTCCCCCCCCTAAACCTTTACATGCAAGAGTATTCTCAACTTCACAGTCTCCCCTCTCCAAGACTTCTTGTCACGATTCCAAGTCATTTTTTAAACTTCCCCCCCTAAACCTTTACATGCAAGAGTAATCTCAACTTCACAGTCACCCCTCCCCAAGACTTCTTGTCACGATACGAAGTCATTTTTAAAACTTCCCCCCCTAAAACCTTACATGCAAGAGTATTCTCAACTTCACAGTCTCCCCTCTCCAAGAAGATTCCAAGTCATTTTTAAACTTCCCCCCCTAAACCTTACATGCAAGAGTATTCTCAGCTTCACAGTCATCCCTCCCCAAGACTTCTTGTCACGATTCCAAGTCATTTTTTAAACTTCCCCCCCCCTAAACCTTACATGCAAGAGTATTCTCAACTTCACAGTCTCCCCTCTCCAAGACTTCTTGTCACGATTCCAAGTCATTTTTTAAACTTCCCCCCCCTAAACCTTTACATGCAAGAGTAATCTCAACTTCACAGTCACCCCTCCCCAAGACTTCTTGTCACGATACAAGTCATTTTTTAAACTTCCCCCCCTAAAACCTTACATGCAAGAGTAATCTCAACTTCACAGTCTCCCCTCCCCAAGACTTCTTGTCACGATTCCAAGTCATTTTTAAAACTTCCCCCCCCAAACCTTACATGCAAGAGTATTCTCAACTTCACAGTCTCCCCTCTCCAAGACTTCTTATCACGATTCCAAGTCATTTTTTAAACTTCCCCCCCTAAACCTTTACATGCAAGAGTATTCTCAACTTCACAGTCTCCCCTCTCCAAGACTTCTTGTCACGATTCCAAGTCATTTTTAAAACTCCCCCCCCAAACCTTACATGCAAGAGTATTCTCAGCTTCACAGTCTCCCCTCTCCAAGACTTCTTGTCACGATTCCAAGTCATTTTTTAAACTTCCCCCCCCTAAACCTTACATGCAAGAGTATTCTCAGCTTCACAGTCATCCCTCCCCAAGACTTCTTGTCACGATTCCAAGTCATTTTTTAAACTTCCCCCCCTAAACCTTTACATGCAAGAGTATTCTCAACTTCACAGTCTCCCCTCTCCAAGACTTCTTGTCACGATTCCAAGTTATTTTTTAAACTTCCCCCCCTAAACCTTTACATGCAAGAGTAATCTCAACTTCACAGTCTCCCCTCCCCAAGACTTCTTGTCACGATACGAAGTCATTTTTAAAACTTCCCCCCCTAAAACCTTACATGCAAAAGTATTCTCAACTTCACAGTCTCCACTCTCCAAGACTTCTTGTCACGATTCCAAGTCATTTTTTAAACTTCCCCCCCCAAACCTTACATGCAAGAGTATTCTCAACTTCACAGTCTCCCCTCTCCAAGACTTCTTGTCACGATTCCAAGTCATTTTTAAAACTTCCCCCCCCAAACCTTACATGCAAGAGTATTCTCAACTTCACAGTCTCCCCTCTCCAAGACTTCTTATCACGATTCCAAGTCATTTTTAAACTTCCCCCCCCTAAACCTTTACATGCAAGAGTATTCTCAACTTCACAGTCTCCCCTCTCCAAGACTTCTTGTCACGATTCCAAGTCATTTTTAAAACTCCCCCCCCTAAACCTTACATGCAAGAGTATTCTCAGCTTCACAGTCTCCCCTCTCCAAGACTTCTTGTCACGATTCCAAGTCATTTTTTAAACTTCCCCCCCCTAAACCTTACATGCAAGAGTATTCTCAGCTTCACAGTCATCCCTCCCCAAGACTTCTTGTCACGATTCCAAGTCATTTTTTAAAATTCCCCCCCCCTAAACCTTACATGCAAGAGTATTCTCAACTTCACAGTCTCCCCTCTCCAAGACTTCTTGTCACGATTCCAAGTTATTTTTTAAACTTCCCCTCCCTAAACCTTTACATGCAAGAGTAATCTCAACTTCACAGTCTCCCCTCCCCAAGACTTCTTGTCACGATACAAAGTCATTTTTAAAACTTCCCCCCCCCAAACCTTACATGCAAGAGTATTCTCAACTTCACAGTCTCCCCTCTCCAAGACTTCTTATCACGATTCCAAGTCATTTTTTAAACTTCCCCCCCCTAAACCTTTACATGCAAGAGTATTCTCAACTTCACAGTCTCCCCTCTCCAAGACTTCTTGTCACGATTCCAAGTCATTTTTTAAACTTCCCCCCCCAAACCTTACATGCAAGAGTATTCTCAACTTCACAGTCTCCCCTCTCCAAGACTTCTTGTCACGATTCCAAGTCATTTTTAAAACTTCCCCCTGGGGTGCGGAGAGTCGCCGCACACTGTTTTGCGTGGAATTGTTCTTGCACACTCTTAATTTGGGCCTTTGTTGGCAAACCAAACAATTGCAGATTGGTATTGCAATGGCAAAACATGACGTTTTGGTGCTTCCGTCGATGGACTCAACGACCAGGTGAAATGATTTCGTTCTTTGGGGAAACGTGAGCACCGACAAAACGTTGACATCAGACATGAAACTCATTCGATGCCAATTGATCTTTTTGACACCGCGAAGCAAAACCATTCTTCGCTTCCATGCAGTTTCGACGAGCACATAAATCAACAAATCATCAAAATTGAACCGCTTAGATCTTGTCATGACAGAATGTCATGGTAGATTCGCCGGTATCGCCGCTGACCATTCTGACCACTCACAAGGATCTTACAATTTGCGCTTTGGATAGTTTCATGTTTTTGTAGTTGTTAAATGATTTATGAACTGTTACTTTGATCATTTACACCTCACGGCAAGTGTCCGTCTTTCATCATTCGTAAAGATTGAGAATATGAAAATGTCAGGCAGTACTGACCTAATATTTTGAAGAAGATAGGAGCATCACCTTGGAACATGTGGTGAGATGTGCCTCGCCGTTGCACCTTGGCGGGATCATCAGCAGCTCTGAGTTCCAGAGGAAGGTGCAGCCGTTGTCCTGTGCCTTGG